ATTATTGATAAAATAATGTATTTTAAATAGTGATATGATGGAAAATATGTGGTTAAAAGTAAGAAAAAGCTTATTGATATGATGAAAAATATTATTTTATTGAAAAATGTGTGGTTGAAAATGAATTTTGAAAGAATATATTTTGACAAAATGTGTGTCAAACAGAGGCTAAAGCTTATTCTAATGGGCCATATTTGGTAAATAATGTATGGTATTGTCACCACTTCATCCCAAAGTTATAGCTCTTGGTGTTAACGTAATTCACCCTACATCACCTAAATCAAGCCTAAGAATCTACTCCAAACCCAGTGCATTAAGCCAATCAAATTTCAAGCATGTTCTTGCATTATCTATCCACTCAAGGGGATAATATTATAGCATCGATTTAGATGCAGGACCTCCCACTTTGATATCAATCGATGTAGAGTATTGTCACAACTTTGGTTGAAAGCCTATATCACATCGAATCAAGCCTAAAAATCCACTCCAAGCCTAATTCGTCGAGCCTGTCCCGTTTGTTGCATGCTCATATACTAGTAATTTGCATAAACCTATTTTTTTTGATAGAAAACTAATTAATAATAATTTGTCCAAGCTAATTAGCCGTTAATTTAGAGTTAATCTTATTTGATTGGTTGTTGTTCCTAAATAATAGTTGTCTACCTTTCAATGTATAACTTGGAGAGGTTTATTTTTGTCACGCACGAGTTAATTTATTTTTATCACTTGCGATCGCACAATATGAAGTTTTAGCTTGCTGCTGGAACCTTTTCGCCTCCCATTCAAGTTGGTCCCTAACTTCCTCCATTGGTTCACCTTGAGTTCCTTCTTATTTGCATCTTTGGTCATTCATCTTTCTATCTTCTCAATTTGATCTTTATTATCCACGATCATTGGAAATCGAGCCGTTGTAAGTTTCAAAATTTTCTAATTAAGTTGTTGGACTTTTCAAATGCTAGGTTTATCTCCCAAAACAAGTGAATTTCCTACTATTGCTATCTTAATGTTCTACATTGATCATGTGCATTCGTGTTGATAGTCAATTTCTTCGAATTAAGTCCAATTAAGCTTCACCACACATTTTTCATGACAATTAAGGTTACCTANTTTTCATGACAATTAAGGTTACCTACAGTTAATATAATTTACAATAAATTAAGTAAATATCCTATCAATTCGCAATAAACCATGTTTAGAAATCCGACTAAGTTTATAAAATACACTTATTATTAAATTTCACAATACTAAAAGTCCTAAACAAATTCCCTGTCTCGCAATTTGTGAAAGTGCTCATGCATCCACAACACCAATTAATTAGCACATCCCATTCTCTCTGTAATTTTGAAACTCATCCTTCCTACTCCAAGCATGGGCGGATGCAGGGATGGCCTTGGGGGTCACATGAAACTCATCCTTCAAAGTCATTACGGAATGTGAAACGAAATCGAAATATTGTATTTTAATATCATTTCGAAATGCTCAGGGTCTAGTTTTCTATGTCGTTAATGACGTACGAAATGATCAATCGTAACAAATGTTACGACTTGTCAAAGTAGGCCGTTCAAAATTAGTATTTCGAAAATTTCGATAACATACTAACTTCAAAAATTCTCCGACGATCGTACGCTAGTCGAATATACAAATTACTTATGTCATCCCAAACTTATTTCGAGAACTATATTATAGGCATATCGAATGGTGAAACAGATATCAAAAATAGTTAAAGATGCGTTAAACGTGAGTCTTAGAAAGGCGTCTAACTCGCATTTCTTTAAAAAAAAGTCAATTATTTCATTAACATTTATTATTTTTGCGATACAAATTTCTCAATATAATTTTCATCATTTTATTATGAACTTTTATATGGAATATGACATAAAAAAATTACGATATTTAATATCCGAAAAAGCCATATCCCATGTAAAATTTCGGATGTAAAATTACATGGGGTATGATTTTTATGCACGTAAATTTTCGATTGTAAA